ACCCTGGGATCATGACCTGAGCCAAAGGCAGACGCTTAACCGACTGAGCCACCCAGGTGCCCCCCAAGGTGTTTCTTTAAACCAGGGTTGCGAAGTGGGTATTCCTGCATCCTGGGCTGCCACCTCCAGTCCTTCATTAATCTTTGAGACTCTCACTTTCTTAACGGGCAGAGATAGTGGGATAATTACCCAGCAACCAGCAACCAGTGGTAAAAGTCATTTGAACTTACATCTCTTAGTATTACTTCTTTAGGAATTTATTTAATCCCTCCCCCCTCAATGTTTTAGAGTCTGCTAAGACCAAAAAGAGAGGGAGACAGTGATGATTTTGCATCTGATTAAGTGGTAAGATTTCTTTCCTTTTAGATTTTCAGGCTTGAGGCTTTTGTACCTTCTAGTCTTCCCATAGACTTTGAGGTTTATTCATCTCTTTCCAGGACAGATGTTTTGAAAGTTATTGTTTGCTACAGCTAAGTGTATTGAAAGAAAAAGGAGACATCATTTCATACAACCTTGTTAATTTCTTAAGCGAAAATCCATCATTCCCCTCCACCCAACCTTTCTAAATTCCAGGACGCCATAATAGTGTCAGTTAAATATTGGATTAACATTTCTAATCACTGGCATATATGTTTTAGGTCACATTTCTGACAAAATAATGATACTTTTAAATTTGTTTTTATAGACTTTGTACAGTGCTTCTGAGTCCTTGGCAAATAAATTCTGGTGCATTTCACAGATCTAGTGAGAGATTATAGTGGCAGAAGTTGATGGATGTTCCTTGACTGTTGTAATTGCTTATCTCTGATGCCATGCCACTGTCCAGTTGTCTTTTGGTACATGACATCTTCCAGGGACCCATTCGATTATGTGATTTGCGGGTGGGCAGTTACTGGTCAGAGTGAAACAAGGACTGTGTGGTCATGATAAAGTTACACTGTGTCATATTTGCCTAATGTTGATGTGTCTGAGGTGGAAGTGGGGGCCTGTATGTGAGGTAAAGTTCTGTATAAGGTCAGATCACTTTGTAGTCACGGAAATCATTGCTCAACCAGTGGTTTCTGAGGTCAAAGGAAGAGAGACAATTTAAGGGTTTATGAATGGTTCATAGTGTTAAAAATGCTTTCTGAATGGCCTATGGGTTTTTTAATGGGTGTGGGGCACTTCCGAACCACGTAGCAAATAGGTAGCAAAATTCCTATATAGAACTGGGGTTTCTACCAGGGAGAACAACAGATATTAATGGCATCCTTCCAGTTGCTCAATTTCTCGATTACTTGCAGTGATGAGGGAGGAGGCCAGTTTAAGCTAAATAAAAGGTTGAATTACAATATTTTCTTTTAAGTAGAAGATGTATTCCTTATAGCCTGGCCTTGTAGATGTCCTGCTTTCATGAATGAAGAGGAGGGTCTGTGTTGATACACCAACCTGGGACCCTTGGGGATGCATTTTATGAATTCTTTTAAATATTCCTCAAGAATTTCCATGTATGTTCCCAGTTGGCTTAACAAATTTTTCCTGTAGGCGGTACAGCCTTTCAACTGACCACCAGGAATTGGGTTTTCAAATTAGTACAGCCCAAATGTGTGATATTTGGGGGGGGTTTAAAATCAAAGGCATTTAAACACAAAATGCATAAGAAGAATGCCAGGATTAATCCTTAAAATCCCATTAGCCTTCTTTTGAAGAAGCTGTCCTCTGTAGTGTACAGTGGATGAAAATGAACTTGCCACCTGTTCAGTGGCCCTGAAAATAAATTCACAACACTGAGGCCAACCCCAAACCCAGATAGTTAGCTAAATAATTCAGTGGTTAGAAATACTACAGGCCTATAAGTATCGACTATACACATCTGGATCTTTTCTTTGCTATCTTCACTAGTTACTTCCAGTGTAATTAATACCCATTTGAAGTTGAATTCCTGACATAATAAGCATCCCATCACTAGGACTGCGAAGCAGCTTCACCCCATCCGTTAAGGTGAAACTGAGTCCGATGAGCATGAGGAATTATCAGTAGATGTGGGTGAGCCTCCAAAAATGAGCAATTATGACCATATGGCACACTTCTCATTTCGTTTGCAACAGGGCTATGTAAAAGGAAAGTGGAGGGGTATCTTAATGACCCCAGTTGCCATTTATGTATATAACGAAATATACATGTTATAATCTGATACATATTCATGTCTGCAAGTTACACTTGAAAGAAAACTAATGATGTCAACTTCTGCTGACATAAAACAGTGGGAGATTTTGTAAAGGAGTCCAGACCTTGCTCTGCACTCACTTTTTTCTTTGTAGAATCTATGCACAAGGCCTTTTCCTTCCATTTATTGTGTCTTAGGATCCATCTTGCTTGTGAGAGAAAAAGGAAGTCAATGGGGCAGATCTTTTTTTCTCCCCTGCAGACCAAAAGACAGGTTTGATTTTTTTTCCTTCCTCACATATTTTCTTTAAATATATATTTTTTTAAATCCAAACTCGTGGCTGGTTACCGTTTTGCTCTCATAAAGACCACTCAGTTCTTTCCTCCTTTTCATCCTGTACCTTCATGTTCTGTAGAGCCATTGGGGTATCAATCCCAGCTCCTAATTATTTGTCTCCCATTTAGCCACAAGGTGTAAATTTGCTAACTGAAAAGGCGTGCTCTGACAGCTAATCTCGTTGTATGTCCAAAGGCTGAGCTTGCTGCACTGGATAACTTCCCTGGGGGATTGTTCTGTAAAATGTGGGACCATTTGTTGAGCTGTCTGATGTAGAAGAAGAGAAAATGAAAGGACCTGCCAGAGGGAAGTGGGGTCATACAGTGCCTTCAGAGCAAAAAAGAGAAATCAAAGAACAATTTCAGGTCCACTTCAGTCTCCAAGCACGTTCCTGGGAACTAGGGAATCAGCGATATTTTCTTATTCGTGTTTTTAGGGAAGTCTCTGAGAGAGAGCCCCAAATCAGGGGAATGGCGAATTTAGAATGCCCAAGGGCTGTGCTTAGAGATTACCACCAGTGCAGGGGTGCGTGGGTGGCTCAGTCCGTTAAGCATCTGACTCTTGATTTCTGCTCAGGTCACAATCTCAAGGTCGTGAGATCCAGCCCCTTGTCGGGCTCTGCGCTGGGCGTGAAGCCTGCTTGGGATTCTCTCCCTCTCTCTCCTCTGCCCCTCCCCCACCTCTCTCCCTCTCTAAAAAAAAAAAAATTTACAGCCAGTGCAGAACACTTCTGTCTGGGCCTGAGACTTACAAGCTCTTCAAGGGCCCATAAAAATGTTTGGAACCAGAAGAAAAAATATATGTTGATATTGACTCTAAAATCTAAAAAAGGTACTCACAAGATTATTAAATGTTTAACTGAATGTCTACAAATATTTAATATCAACTTCATTAAGTATGAGATTTAGTCTTCTTAAAAGTTACAATATATGTGAAAACAAATTATGGATTCAGTTTCTCATGTTCCAAGATCTCAAGCATGCCAGTCATAATTAAATGAATTGCATGTAGCCAATAATTTGAAATAAAAATCATAAAAGGATTATAAGAATCCTTTCCATTTCTGTACACGGAAATGTATATTTTAGGTGGGATATGGGAGCAACTCAACATTCTTATATAAAGACGTGTGGTAGGACTGAAAAAGAGAGCCTGGGTTCATGAAGGTTCTAAAACAGCTCTGCACCATGTACTCATCTCCATATGGGATTGATTATTCCTGAAGACACTGATCACCAAAGACACTAATGGGGAGGACGAGAGGCAAGCTGGGAGCAGGGTTCCAGTTTGTTCTTGCTGTATGAACCCTTAGTGGAGGGGTAGTGACAAAGGCAGTGTGGTCTGAGCATGAGGAAAGTCACAAGGTACCTGCAAATCATTGGAAAGATAACAGGATGGTGCCCTGGTTCTGCCGAAGGAGGATGCATATTAAGTTGACAAAGCAAAGCCAGCTGGGTGGGTCATGTTGGTAGAACTCCTGTGTCCCTTTTTCAGTGTTCTCTCCTAACAGATAACCAGGCCCTCAAGTGCCCTGGTGTTTTAGTCAACCTTTCTCTACTTGACAGATATTTCCATTTTTAGAATGGAAAACTTGAAGTGGTAGAGGCAGAAAAGGTGTGTTATCTGAATTCTGCATGTGATGATCTTAGTCTTCAATTCAGGGGTCCACATTCTTCAGGATTTATTTTATTCACTTTATTTATTTATTTATTTATTTATTTATTTATTTATTTATTTATTTATTTATGGGGTGGTGAATGTGGACGCCCTCCAAAATACTTAGAAGATGATACTTCCTTGTAATCCCAGCCCCCAACAATAACCACTAATAACGGTTTGGTGTTGATTCTTGCAGAATTTTTTCTTTACATATACTAAAGCTTTGTTCATTTATTTTCTTCGATAAAATGACATGACAAATAAGACCTTAATTTTTTTTTAATTTTTTTATTGTTATGTTAATCCCCATACATTCCATCATTAGTTTTAGATGTAGTGTTCCATGATTCATTGTTTGTGCATAACACCCAGTGCTCCATGCAGAACGTGCCCTCCTCAATACCCATCACCAGGCTAACCCATCCTCCCACCCCCCTCCCCTCTAGAACCCTCAGTTTGTTTCTCAGAAGGACCTTAATTTTTGTCACTTGAACAGTATATCTTAGATACTTTTGCATGTCAGTACATGTGTACTTACCTCATTTATTTTAATGACCCCATGGGATTCCACTGCATGGATGGGCCATAGTGGATTGAACTGCCCTCCATTGCTGGGCATTTGGGATGACCATTCAACTTTTTGAGTGTCCAGGAGAATGTACCATGGGCCTAAATAAACCATTATATATTGGTTAGTAATCTATACCGTTGGCCCCCTGTGTTGGTTCCTCCCTGCCCAGAAGCAGAAAGAACCAAATCTTTCCTTATACTGATGCTTGTTATTAAATGTAAAACTGACATGGGACTTGTTGTTTATTTATTTCTTTGTCTTCTGTTTTTGCCTTTTTCTCTTCTGCAGTCATCTACAGCCAGGGACAAGGATGAGCAGGCTCTACCGGTAGGAAGAAGTGGCTCTGTCTATACCTGTTCGTGTGCCTGTGGAGAGTGTGGGACAGGGGTGGGAGGAGGAGGGCTCATGTGCTCAACAAACCATCCTCCCCCTTGGGATACTGAAACGGCTCAATCTACTGGTATATATGTATACTCAGTCCTATAATTAGTGTCAACTGTGTTCTGATATTCACTGATACTCAAATTATTTCTGGGACTAGATTTCAAAAAGTTTGCCTTCTCTCTTTCATTTGGCATAAACTTTAATGTGAGTTGAAAGAAGGAAATATTTCCAAACTGCATCCCATGGGATGTTGAGCTGATATTTGGGGACAGTGTGGGATCTAATGCTTGATATCTATTTTTTATGTATCTGCATGCCCTTAATTTCTGGTTGGAAATTTCTTTTGGTTCCATCAAAAGAAATGCTGCATGAGACGTATGTGTTTAATATATAACTAATACCCAAAAGAATACCCAAATAGATATCATCCTTTGCCAATGAAGATCTCCACAACAAAGTTCTTCCAGTTTCCTAGAATGAGCATAGTAACAGTGATTATGACAAATTATTAACAACAAACACATTTTCCAGTTCCTATCCAGTTAACATCACATTCTGTAATGTGCAAGATGGCAAGGAAATGACCTTCAGAGTTTTTTGTGTTCAGCTATCAAACAGTGATTACATTTCAACTCTAGTCAAGTCTCCTAAACTTGCCCCTAAAATATTTTGAAACTTAATCATCTGAATCAAATACTACAATGCATTAAAAATGTTACAGATTTAAAACTGAAGAGACTAGTAATAAAGATACATATGACCCCATCCATCCTCCTGTAGTGCTCAGAGCAAAGACTCAGGACATTCATTGAGAGCCCATCAGATATGTCAGATCTGGTACTGGGCTAGGGATACAGACCCAATCTCTTGCTTTGAGGAACTCATGATCAGTTTCACAATATCCTCTGATTCTTCTTCCGTCAGAGTTAGGAGTATGATTTCCGACAGCATATCAATGATAATAAAATCACACTAAGAAATTCAGATTTCTCCATGTATCTCATACTGGCATTTTGCCCATACTTCAAGTTACCATGGCTTTCACCTTTGTCCCCAAATGTGTGGACCACGATTGTTAATAAGTATTCTACAAAATAAGAGACCTTGGGGCACTGTCCAAGTTAACCAAGTTAACCAGATTTCTTTAGTGTTACACTCAGTGGTCTAATGTGTATCTTAAAATGCTAAAGGTGGGTTGGTCTAGGATGTAGCGCTTGCCAAATATATATGGTTGTGAAGTCTCTTGGGGGACTCTTCTTGGGAAGCCCCTTTGTGGGTCTTGACTGTGATTGGATATATTGGAAAGCCCTGTAATGTAGATAGTTGGGAGACTTCATGGAAAATCATATTTTATTTTTACCTGGCCCCAGAAAAATTGTATGTCGAGATTTTGGATCGAAAGTTCAATAAGCAATTAATTCCTTCGCATTACCTTACCTTGCTCCCTCTTAAATCTGGCTGTCTGTAAAGCTTGGCTGCTTCTGAAGCCTCTTCCCCTGTGAGAACTAGCACAAAATCTACCAAAGTGAGAGGAAGCAGTTCCTAGTCAGGATAAAAATCCATCAAATCCTGAGGGTGTAGGGTGTCTTTTTTTAGCTTATTTGCTTTTGAAGATCGCCATAAAAAGAGTTTGTTGGTAACTTATCCCTAGAAGTTCTTTCTTCCTCTCTTACCTGTGAGTTTCACCTCATTGGCTACCACCAGTCACACCAGTAGTTTATACAAAAGGAGCCCCCCTCCCCCCAGCATGGAAGTCAAGAGGTTTTTCAGTGGATTCTTAATAGGAGGTTTTTTCCCTTTAGATCTCTCTTAATATAGACCATAGTGCTTCATGAATTAGAACTGTGGTCCCCAGAGTAGAGATGAGGTCCCCAGGAGATACACAAGCTGTTCTTTTGGGGAGCAAGGAGAAAATATTAGCACCTCTATCATTTACTTTCTATATTATTCTTCATAATTTCTCCTTTCACAAATGTTTTATCATAGCTATGCTCATATTTTGGTATGTGTGGATATAGAGACAGAGATAGATACATATATGCATATTCAAAACTTTTATAGATAGGGTGCACAATCTAAACATTTTAGAGACCATCCACCAGTTCAGATAACAAACTTTGAGAGAAGCAAACTTGAGATCCATTTCTCTATCCTCCATTTTTCATCTCATTTCACTTCTCTGAGACAGTGTCCTTATCTGTCTAAAGGGAATGATGACCACGTCTAGTTCAGAGGGCTCATTGTGAGATTGAGATAAACAGTGGGAGTGAAGTATATAGTACATTGACTAGCATTTAGTAAGCTCAAAAAAAAAAAAAAAAGGTGGCAATGAATTCATTTAGGATGTGAGAAGGCCATTCCTTGGCAGGATTTGAAATGCACTTTGAACATCTTTCTTACAATAGCATGTCATCATGTGACAGAAATGAGTGACCACCAGACTAAGTGAGAGCATATCTGCAATACACTTGCCTATGGTTTCCGAGAACTAACAGCGTTTTTGTCTGGTTTCTCTGCTCAGACTAAGCCACGTCTCCAGCGAGGTGGAAGTTCTGCTTCTCTCCACAACAGTCTCATGAGGAATAGCATCTTCCAGCTCATGATTCACACCCTTGACCCACTCGCTGAAGGTAAATATCAGGCGTTAGCTGGGGAGCTTGTGCCGGGGGGCGGGGGGGGGCGGTGATAGAGGATGTTTACGATGCTGCCATCACACAAAGCTGCCACTATCCTCGTGGGGAGCATCTGCCAGAGGAAACCCTGGGCCCTTGACGTGCTTTATCTGCAGCAGCTCAGTTCACAGTTGGAGAGTGTTGTGCCAGGAGTAGGACCTGAGGTCTTGTGTACTGATTCTGTCTTTTGATGCTTCCAGCATAAAGAGTTGGTGATGAGGCAGAGAAGGCAAAAAGGTTTCTCTCCCTCCCAGCTGGGGTGACAGCTCTCTTTCATCCTCCCTCCTCAGTTCCAAAATGAGGTTGTAGATGGAGATTAATTGTGCATTTTTAAAAAAAGAGAGAAGAGAACCCCATGACTTAGGGCCTTGAATAATTTGGGGAATGATGTTCACTGTAGAACATTGATATTGTCCTGATTCTTTGGCAGTTGGAGGGCGGTGGGTGAGCTAAGCATCCAAGGAGACTTCTCGGAGGTAACTGCTTAGGATCAGTCTCAAAAGGCCTGGTTCACCTCCTAGGGTAATCCTATGAACCATCACAAAGAATCCGGTGTTATGTTCTTTAAGTTTTACTGATTCACAGATTCATCCTGTTTCTTAACTTGCATAACTATCCTAAAAATTTAATTTTCCAGTAGGTAGATATCTTATGTGTCAAATAAATATCAGAGTTAGGCTGCTAGCAAGGGGTGCAAATGTAAGCTAGTATATTCTCCCTTCATCTCTGGACCTTGTAATTGGGCCTGATGTTACATGGGGGCTAACAGAGATCATTGGAAGAGCATGGCCTGGGACACGTGGGATGAGATTGTCAAATCATGTCACATAAATCAGAGCTCTTACCCAATATAAACCTTTGCTGAATAATTTCACGGGTACAGGTCATCAGGAGATTCAGAAGAAAGAAAGAACATTTGGGGACCTCAAGAACGGCTCCCCAGGTCCTGTCTTCCCTCACTAAATACTCAGCTCTGACCCAGAATAATAGATGAGGATCATGGGGTCACCTCTCACTACAGAACATTTTGATTATGAAATGTCTCCATTTTATACCCCAGAGAGTTCTATAGCTGACATGATATTCTCCAAGGAACCCCGCCTCATAGATCGTGAGTCCTGTTTACTAGAGGTAGTCTTTAGCCAGGGGCGTCCTGAGTGTCATTACTCTCTTCACTCAGAGGCCCACTAGACGAGGGAATTACACCTGGTCACTAGCCTTCTTCTAATTCCCCTGGGTCCCCCCACCAACACCATCACCCCAAAGAGGAGTGAAGGGATGGCAGACCAACTTCCTCCCAGCCACTAAGGAGTTGTGTGACTTTGGGCAAGTTGGAGTCTCTCTAGTACTTGGTTTCTTCATTTGTAGTAAGAGTTACCTTTGTCCAGTGCTTTACGGTTGACAAAGCATTTTCACACCTGTGAACTTACGCTCCATAGTTACTCTTCATAGTCAACATTATTATTCTAATCGCATAAAATATCATACCACCCAAGGAGATCTCAAACCGACCTCCTCCCTTGGCCAGCTGTTTATTCCGAGCCATCCCCATCACTTGCCTGGATTCCTGTGGGGCCTTCCTAACTGGTTTCTCACTGCCTCCTTGCCTCCTCCTCTGCGTGTTTTTCACACGGCACCCCAAGTAGTCCTCTTCAAAAGTAAATCAGATTGTGTCACTCCTACTGATAACCTACAGTGGCTTCCCATGGCTCTTGGAAAAATTGTGAGATAGTTCTCATGGTGTATATCATCTGCCTCTTTCTCCAGACTCAGTTCGACTCACTTTGCTTAAGCCACAGAGGCCTTTCTGTCTTCAGACAGGTGCTTCTTTCCTGCCTCATGGTCTTTGCATGGGCTATGACCCCCACCCAGAATCCTTTTCGTTCTTCCGCCCTCTTCCACTTCCCTTGCCCATTCTTTTTTTTTTTTTTTAAGATTTTATTTATTTGACAGAGAGAGACACAGCGAGAAAGGGAACACAAGCAGGGGGAGCGTGAGAGGGAGAAGCAGGCTTCCTGCAGAGCAGGGAGCCCGATGCGGGGCTCGATCCCAGGACCCTGGGATCATGACCTGAGCCGAAGGCAGACGCTTAACTACTGAGCCACCCAGGTGCCCCCCCCCAGCCCAATCTTCAGCCGGCTGTCGACAGGACATTTCCCGGCCACCCAGTATAAATCAGGGCCCCAATCCTCATCTCTCCAGGCCCCCTTTCATTTGTCCTTATTGCTCGCATTGTAATTTGTGTGATTATTTGTTTACTGCCTGTCTCCCTGAGGATGCAGTAAATCTCCAGAGAGCAGGAACTCTATTTTATTCACTAGTTTCACCCAAATTCTAGCAGAGTACCTGGCACAGAGTAGCTGCTAAAACTCAAGAAAGATTAAGCAGTGTGGCCAATGTCAAGCTTTTGACCTGATATTCACAGAATTTCAAAGCTCTCTAAAGCCACGTGGATTGTATCTTGGGTTGTTTTGAGCCATCATCTTTTCCACCCCATCACCCTAAAGGGCCATGTAAGAAGAAAAGAACCATTTTATCTGTCCCAATGTGATTATGAGCAGGCAACTGATTATGTTTATTTTTTTGCAAGGCAGTATTATGTAGTAATTAAGAGGACAGATTCCAGAGCCAAACTCTCTGGGTCTAGATCTCAGCTCTGCATTTACTAGCTGTGTGACCTTGGCCAAGTTTCCTAACCTCTCTGTACCTCAGTTTCCTCATCTATAAAATCAGGATGCTTACTTCATAAGGTTGTTGTAAGGATTAAAGGAATGAATATACATAAAGCATTTAACACACTGCCTAGCAGATCATAAGTATCATATACAGGTTTGGAATTATTCTGTTTCATTATTTTGAAAAATAATGCATCATGTGATTTTTTTTTTAGATTTTATTTATTTATTTATTTATTTGAGAGAGTGTATGTGTGTGTGTGTGTGTGAGCCAGGAGAAGAGTAGAGGGAGTGGGACAAGCAGACTCTCTTCTGAGCACAGAGCCCGACACGGAGCTCCATCTCACAACCCTGAGATCATGACCTGAGACAAAATCAAGAGTCGGCCTTAACCAGTTGAGTCCCCCAGGCACCCCTGATTCTTTTTAATTTAAAACATTCAAAAGGCTATGATAAAAAAATAAGTCTCCCCCTGCCATTAAACTCCCAATTTTTTCCAGCCCCCCAGTTCTCCCTAGAGAAAACCACACAGCAACCAATTATCAGGGCTCATTCCAGAGATATTCCATGTATATACAACTGTGTGCATGCATGCATGCGTGCGTGTCCATGCCCACAAGTCCCCAAAGTCTAAATTTCTCTCATGTTTGTTTGGGAGAGTTGACTTTCTGGTAGCGCTTTTCATTCTTCCTGTTTCGTGGGGAAGGTTATGCTTTGTTTCTGTGAGATAAGAAAAAGTGAATCTGGGTTTGTCTCTGAGTCGAGCCATCAGTGATTTTCCGAAACACCTGGCCCTTATGGGGCTGTGTGCAATTAAAGTGTTTGTTCCCACTGTAGCAAGATGTGCCTTCCGAATCTGGTGCCTGCTTTCAAGGTGAAACCTCCCCCTGAAAGACGGGCAGCGCTCTGGTGGTGTGAATCTGAGAGATGCGGAGAGCCGTAATCAGTTCTGGACTTGAGTGATTAGAAAATATGGAAAGCACTTCAATGCTTTAAAATTGCTCCGTAGCACGCGGCCAAGAAAACAGATTGCTCGGGTATTTTTCCCCCAAAATTCACGATCATTTTCCATTCCAGGAACAGCCAAAAAATTAACCCACGGCTCTCAGAAATAGTCGTCTCTCTTTTAGTTTGCATCTAATCACTTGAATTCACACGTCCTCGTGCCAAACTGTCACCTTTTAACAATATAGAGCGTGCCGCTTCCATCACCAGTGGATGGCTTGCACGCTGCGGCAGCTTCCCCGTTACACTGAAGGGCGGCTCCCCGATGCTCCTGGCGGCCACCTCGGTGGACACTGGCCCCACGGGGCATAGAGTCAGTGTGCACAAAGGCAAGTTTTCAGCTTCATCTGGAAATGTCATCTAGGACTGATGGCTTACGAAAAGACCTTTGTCCCTTGGTCTCATTTTCTTGAAACAAGGGCTTCTGTCTTCCACGATGTAGTGACTGAGCCGTTGCCTTAACTGGTGGTCGGTTTGGCCTCTGAGCCTGAGTCACAGATCCAGCAGTTACATATCTTTTGTTGTGTATGTAACAAAGCACCCAAGGAGCAGGTGGCTTAAAAGCCCCACCATATTATTGCTCCTGATTTCCTGGATCAGGAACCTGTGCAGGGATCGGCGGGGTGATTCTTCCATTCCCTGTGGTATTGATGAAGGTCATTTGGTGTTATTCAGCTAGTAGATGAGCTGGTTAGAAGGCCCGAAAGGGCCTCACACTCACATCTGGCACTTTTTTTTTTTTTAAGATTTAATTCATTTATTTGAGAGAGACAGAGGGGCAGAAGGAGAGGGAGAAGCAGGCTCCCCGATGAGCAGGGAACCTGACATGGGGCTCAATCCCAGGGCCCTGGGATCATGACCTGAGCTGAAGGCAGATGCTTAACCAACTGAGCCACCCAGGCGCCCCACATCTGGCACCTTTGAAGGCACAGCTGGAAGGCTGGGCTCAGCTGGACCCCTCTGACTCTCCATGTTTTCTCAGGGCCTTTCCACGTGGTTGGACGCAGTGGCTCAGGGTTCTGAGAACAAATCTTCCAAGAGGCTCAGGGATAAGCAGCAAGGATTCCAGTGACCTGGCCTGGGAAGTCCCCGAATGTCACTTCGGCATGCTACCAATCAAGCAGTCACAAAGCCCAGCCCAGACTCTAGAATGAGAGAAGGAGATTCCTCTCAATGGAAAGACCCCAAAGAATTTGAAACTACCTTTAATCGAACCCAGTCTATTTCAGGGACACATCTCATTGATCATTGATTAGTTTGTGTGTTCATTGGTGTGCT